AAATATTTCTTTGTCATAATTATTTTCATTTTATATAGCCGTTACAAGAATCACGAAATGTTTGCGCAATGTTGTAGCACCACTAGTTGAATTACTTCCTTCTTAAATGCATGGCAATGCAACACTATTTTCTCAATGCTGCAAACTTTTTTAACGATTAATAAGAGACTAACCACTGCCAATCATGTTTCAATAAATGAGGTGATATGAAAGAAATTAACTAAAATCCTGTAGGATCCAAAAAATGTGATTTGAACCTATGAAAATGTTGATTTCTATTTTAGGAAATAACCGAATGAATTATTTAAAAACATGAACAGATTGTGAGGAATGTGATCAAATTATGATATCTTATTTCATCATCAAAGGTACTAATCTTATATAACGGAAAACACCAGGAAGGTACCATTCCATTTGACTATTCAGAAATGAATTAAGGTCAGATGCCGGAGCTCAAGGAGGCCCCATCGGTGCATCTTGATTCTCTATAATCATCGAAAGACCCGCAGGCCCCTATGCGGCGGTCCTCACGCCCTAAAGCGCCGCCCTAAAGGGTCAATGGCTCCGTGAGGACACAGATGGAATTTATGCTCTCTAACGCTCTTCCATAATGAGGTTCCGCAAAGTAGACCGAAAGAACGAGCTGTTACTTGGGGGATTAAGTGAACAGGAAGGATCACGTTTTTGTTAATAAGCCAACACTTTTCGAGAATTACTCTGAAGCACAGCTTTCGATTGAAATATCTTTTTATTTCGACAATGCCAAAGCGGGGCGTTTTACAATGTTAAACTTAAGGATAAATATGTGAAAATGGCAACATAAGAAGGTACGTTACAAGTTGTTTTGTGAACGAGAAGAGCGATTTAGTTTTTTTCGATAGAAAAAACGTTTTACTAACTTGTAATGAACGTGGAAAAATATTATAAAATTTATTTGTGTTTGTAAATATTAACTGACATTAAAGTTATTATGAAAAATTTAATTAGGTTCTGAGAGTTCATGAATATATATATCATAAACATCAGTTAACAGACAAAGAGGTTTTCAGTAGAGATTTTCTGGGAAGTGCCTTAGATTTTTTATTGCTCAATTTGCACATCGGCTAAAGCGCTTTGAGAAGGCAGCAGACGACGCGGAGTCGATTCCGCTGTCGCGCTTGCTAGAACCATTCACGCACGAGCTTAAGGCGATCGGAGCAGAATTTAAATAATATTCTCCACGCACGCTCGCGAGCGGTTGCTGAACAAATCGTCAATGCGTCATTGCTAATTGTAAATACGACACGAAGTGTTTGGGTGGTTGACCGCGAATGATACCGAGTGCATTAAAGCACGTTCTGGTAGATGTGGGTGAACGTTCTTTCCTATCTCGAGTGCGGTGACAACGAAGGCGTGTGAAGACTTACGTCAGTTGCTTATGGCTCATATATTACGTTTCGTTGTAGTCATATAAAAAATTAAAAAAAAAGAAATATCAGACGGTAGTTGAAAAACCTCTCTATTAGTATGAATCAATCATTGAATGCGGATAAATTTACGTATCTTATATTTTTGTACATTTTTTAAATTTTTTTCCCTGTGATTATTTGACTTCTTATAGTTTTGTTGTCGCACACTTCAACGAAATCTCTTGGCTTTCAACATAATACCAAGAAGAGATGTAGAAACAATCGTGCCTAACATCAGAGTGAAAACGTGAGGTATAAGAAATTTCTGCGACCGACCATTCCGACCATTTTTTTAAAGTTGACAGAAAGCTTGTCTATGTAAGTGCCATAGATGTATTAAAATGCTACATAATTTCAAACCGCGATCATTCTTGGTGATCAATGCGTCTAAAACATTAAAGAATATGTGGACTTAAAAAATTATATAGTATTTTCCAAAAGAGAAGAAATTCGACAAATATCTTCCTTTACTTTACGCAAGTTATGTACAACTCAAGACAGTACCTCGCATGCTACCTCTATTTTATCCTTCCATTCCATATCTCTCAATGTTCAATTATTAAATCTTTCTTAGCCTATTTAAATGCTGTCTATTATTTTCACCCTTTGTCTTTCTTTTTATTCACATTCTGATGGGCTATGTCACCACTACATTTATTTTACATTCCAGACTCCAAGCTAAAATTTTCGTTTTGAAACTCGCTCTGCTGCCAGAAGCAGTGTGCATGCGTGCGTTCGTTAATCTCCCTAAATCGTTCGTAGAAAAGAAGTGTGTATATCAAGTGTACTATCTTATATACTTCACACGCGTGTGTGGAATATTCTTTGGTTCACTTAAAATGTTTAACCTTTTTATGGCAAGTAAGTCTGGAGGTGACCGATTAGAAAACTTGGTAGTAAAATTTGATATATGAAAATATTTCCCTGTCGTTATTCCCTGTGATTCCTTACGTAATTCCTCTCCCTGCCAAGCAAAATAGAGTGGTTTCGTTATTGGTGCTGCAGACTGTTATGGATCGGGTATACTGACATACCGTGAAACTGCTTTTTCGAAGAAAGATTGCACTCGAGAAATCAGGATTTTGAACCCCTCCTTGGTGGAAAGTGCGCAGAATTATCGCAATGCCACATGAAGCATCTCCTGTTTTTTCTTCTCCTTTCTCCGGATGCGTTGGCAGAAAGCGAGTTAGATGAAGCGAGACGTCGCGTGCGGGACTTCGGAGGCGCTGTCGCCCTGGGAGGTCTCTGCGCTGCCCGACACGCCACCCCGCTCACTTCAGCCCGCCCGCCCGCCGCCCGCCGCCCGCCCGCCCGCCCGCCCGCGCGCCCGCCCGCCCGCCGCCCGCCCGCCCGCCGCGCCGCCCGCCCGCCCGCCCGCATCTCTCTTTCCCTCACCTACCCATCCACATACCCCTCCGAATCTCCCTTCTCCCCTTGCTCATCCCCCACCGTATTTCGCATCTCCCCGCCGCATCTCGCCACCCTCGCCCCTCTTCGCCTCGCCCGCTATCCCGTCCACCTCTTCCGTCTACCGCCTGTCCCCCCGCCCGCCTCCACGCCCCGCCCGCCCCGCTCCCGCCGCGCCCCGCCCTCGGCCCCCGCCCGCGCCCCGCCGCGCCGCGCCGCGCCCCGCCGCGCGCCCCGCCGCGGCCGCCGCCGCGCCCCGCCCACCGTGTCCTAACTCGCTTCGGCCCAGGCTGACCCGGCCCGACCTGGCCCGACGCGCTCCATTCCTTCCCCCTCAGCTCGACCCCTCCTGGCCCTGCCCCACCGCCACTGGAAGGCCGTCGAGCCGTGCTGCAGCTGGCTCCCGCGCACGCACGCGTGCGCAACCGAGACACGCACGCGCCGTCCGCCACCCGTCACGTTGGAGTCCCTTCACAGCTCCGCGTGCCTCCGGGCAGTGACATTCTCGCCGATTTTTAAAAGTCTCTAATACTCGTACATTCTGTAGAGGTTGCTCAGCTCTGCACCCTTACAATATTCTCTTTTGAGTATTGCTACTGAAGCACATTTACGTTCGTACGTACTACTTCTCTCAATTACATTCTTAAACGTGCAAATACCGATTTTCAAATGAATAGCTTATTCGTATTAAAATGTAACTAAAACCTTATTCACATAAATATATTACAAAAGAGTCGTCTTTCAATGTTTATATAGTTTCGCCTACACAACGATTAATAGAGCATATGCAGAACTAGAAGTGAACGCAATGAGACTAACTTTGTGGAGTTTTAATCTCTTCAAAACTTACGGGACAAAAATATGTAAGTGTTAAGAAAATCCGAAGAAAAGTAAAATGTAGGTATAGAAGATTTTGGATAGAATTTTCGAAACTAATTGACAATGATCTTATTAGAGAATAACGCCTTAGACCAGCTTACAGATGATTTTTTAAAAACATTTTTTAAAAAACGTTATAATGTGGCTCTACTAAGTTCTGACTATTCAGCATCATTCATACCAGTCGGTATTTTTACAGCGTTTATGATTGAATACCTCGAGGCAAAAAGGTTGTGACACGCAAAAAGCTTTAGCCCTCGTAGCTTCCTTAAAACCGATTGCAACCCTAATATCAATGGAAATTGCTTATTTCTTTAAATTAATGAACATTATGTTTAGATAGACAACATTCTATTGGTAGGGACACACTCCAACATAGTTACAATCCATTTTGCACAGTGCTGTGTTCTGGTTTTAATACGTGGTTTTGGGAATTTTTGAAGGGGAGTAAAAAAATTGCTACTACAATTCATGGGTATGCCCTATGCTAGAGACTGTAAGAACTTATTTGAACAAAGATATGCATGACATAAATTTGCAATATATGAAAATACTTTTAAAACCTAATACAGCGTCGGCCACATTAAACAGCGACGCTTCATTCAACTAGTAGTTCATATTTCGGAATTATATACAATTACAGCTTGCATGAATCACAGTCATTGACTAAATTTAGAATCGGTTGTGTAAAAACGAGGTTCCTGTCTCTAAATAACGGTCATTAAGGAGAACCAAAGGATTCATGGGGTAATTTCGCCTCCCTTTTAAAAAGGATATTGTTTTCTTAAAGCGAAATTAGCTTTGTTTACTAATAATTTTGTAGATTTTTCCAGAAAATGAGAATTTAATGTTACTAAACAGTAGGTAATATGGTACTACAGAGTAAAACGAGAGTATTCATAAAGCATAACGGCATCTCGTCTTAACAATCTGCTTTAATGATTTGAATTTTATTTTTGTATCAGCTACTGTATAAGAGATGGTACTATGCATATATATATATATATATATATATATATATATATATATATATATATATATATATATATATATACACACACACACACATACACACATCTCTTCTTCATTACCTACGATGAAGAACAATACTGTAAACGAATATTCTTATGTATCTCACACCTCACACTCATCAAAATATTTTTTCGGTATTTATGTATTTTAAATTTCATTCAACACTTAGATATTGCTATTATTTTCCATTCCTTGTATGAACGGTACACTAGGGGACAGGTGTGAAGATAGGGAGAAAGAAGCAATGAAATTCGATTTTTCCTTTATTGCTATTTATTAATGACCATTTGGTTTCATATTTTACACATATTTACATTGCATGTAATTGTCTATGATACACAAATTTTATTGTTTGCATACACTTTTGTAATACAATTGATACTCCTAAACACATTTTCATATTTCATTGAACTATTAAATATAGTACACCTTATACAGTACAAAACATACACAAACATACTGATATTCAAATTTGCTTTGAAATTCTGATTATATACAACTAATATTATTTACTTGACTAAATATATAGCTCTTTTGTTCACGCCTACGAGCTATGTTTTCGACTTTCCTCTTGTTCAATCAGGAAGTCATTAATGACTATATAAAATGACTACGGCACACTCGGGTTCCGCGTTTTTGGATTTGTTCATCAGATTGCTCTCTAAAGACGGCATCTAGTGCCTTATTTTTTTGTTTTTTTTAACTGTTCGCCTATCAACTTTCACTAAAATATCTTATTGCAGCGTTAACAATGTTTGTAATACTTTTTAAGGGGCGAACAGCAAAAGTCGAAGCTTTGATTCGAACAACATTTATTACATGTTAACAATAGAACGATTAGAACAGCCTTTGGTAAGATAGAAATAAATATTTTTAGATTTGGGGAACATTTATATGTACCATTTCAGAAAGAATAAGGAGTATATCATATCTTGAGACATCACAGCCTGAGCTGTTTTTTTGGCGATGTTGACATTGACGACAAATCCGCCAAATCATACCAAATATTTCAAACGCGACTAAATTAATATACATCTGGAAAGTCTGTGCTGAATTTTGATGCTTACTCTCCTGCAAAACGATTTACTGATGGGTATTTAGTGTAACTTCTCTTCCTTCGTCCTGTATCTTAATTCGGCAGTTATTTTTACATCAAGAATATAACTAATTATATTAAAATATATACACACTTAGCGATTTGGTTTAAGGAGACTAATCAGTTTAACACAAATCTTTGGATATAATGCCCTGTGTGGCGGTAGCTATAAATAAGTTAGTGTTAAATATTTTTTGTTTAAGTCTTACAGACCAACATATACAACTCTACGGTCAGAGTAGAAAACACAGTGTGTCAACTACAAAACCAGTCTTGATTCCATTCCTCTTTCTACAATAATTTGCAAATGTGTTAGTAAACAGCACGTTATTACAACTGGACGCCTCGTTTCAAACATGAACATGAAAGTACGTTTCGACGCCGCTAAAAGGGAACTTTCTGAAACTGGAGTGTGACCTGTTGCGAAACGTTTTGTGCTTTGACTTTCGTTTTGTGATTTGCGAGCAGCGTCGAAATGGAAATTTGTGCAGAGGTAGAGTCTCCGTCAAGGGAGAGGGAAGACAGTCGGCGCCTTTGGAGAGGCGTCCAGTTGCATCCCGTGCGAAGCAGATTGTTACGCTTGTTAGTAAATAACCTTACTTTTAAAGAGGAACTGTAGGCTGCGCGGCGGTGCGGGTCGGACGCCGGACTGGCGATGGAACATCGAGAAATACCGGCTTTTGAATGGAACTCGAGTCTGACATCAAAATCGATTCACTTAACAAATCGTTTTTAGATATAGCGATTTAGTTCAGTTTACCTCTTGGAGGTTAAATAATGTGAGTTAATACTTTATTTCAACGAAAATAAGTGGATAAAAATGTTAATTTCATTTTAATGTTGTTATTTGAGTTAAATCAGTTGACTGTATTTTGTGAATATTCTCTTTTTTTAGCGCATATTTTCGTTCTTTCTATCGCTTTTCGTGACTAGGAGTCATATAGGTTCTACAATGCTCAATTAATAATGCTAGATTGTATTAAATACTTCATAAAATGCGTAATTAATTCAAATCCGCATTTTTTAGAAAAAAAATACGCAGGAAAAGATCGACCTTTGTGAAAATCGAATCGAATTGTCCACGCCAGTCTGGACCGCTTGCAGCTTCTGTCGCCCGCGCCGCCGCGCGCCTGATTGGCAGTTCCCCTGAGATCAAGGCCAAGGCGATTGTACTCGCGCTGTTCTCACGATATTACGAGGGCGTTGAAAAGAGATGAAGTAAGGGAGGGGGAGGGAAGAGAATGGACAGGAGGGCGTGCCGTACCGCGCTCGACGCTTACGCTCTCTGCAGCGGCGGCGGCGACGGCGGGGGCGGAGGCGGAGGCGGCAGGGCGTTGCAAACGCGATTCGGCGCTCTTTGCGCCGCCTTTCGGCTCTTTTTTGTTGCCCGCTCCGCCTCCGCCGCTGCGGTTAAGGCGCTGAGCTGTTTCCAAATTGAATGGGGCAGCATTCTTTTACAGGAAAGCTGCCCCAAAAAGAAGGACCTCGGTTCCTTTATTTTGGGAGGTGGTGAAGTGGAGTGCCGTACATTTCAAAGTAATAGCATAAACATTCTTTTCGCCTTTCTTTGGAACGTTAATTGAAAAACGTTTGTATTATGCCAAATTCTCGATCTAGAAAATATTCTCGTGAGAACAGCGCAACTTATTACACTAACTAAAGCGACCGGAACCCCAGCTGCACGAAACACTCGACAGTGTCACCATTATAATTTTTTTGTATTTTTTTTTGTTTTTCATCGACAAGGTGTTTGAGAGGCGTGAAATGAGAAAGGAAGACGTTTTTGTCGTGTTGCGCGTAGAATGAGCCTGTCTGCACTCGTGTCAAGTGCGAGCGGGGGTCCCGGTGCGAAATTCTTTTTGGCATTTGATGAGCGCGTAGCGAAGCCGCCTGCGCTCACATCGACTCTGTCGCTCGGAGCTGCGATGAACACCTATGGTAATTGCGTACACCGTTAGGCTGTCGTCGGGAGGGGCGTGGCCGGGTCACCCCGGAGGGGGCGTGGCTTTTTGTGCCCGCTCTGCGCTCCCCGCCGCCTCCCGCGCAGCGCTGCTTCTTCTCCATCTTCATCTTCTACTCGCACATCCACTACCAACACAGTGGCTGTACATTCGCGAACTGACTACTGGCTGAGTCCTCTCGGCTATTTACATATAGGCAGTGACACGTACAAAACACGAAGGAGTCCTACCACGCGAACCGCGTTCTACGAAGCCGGCCGTGGCGGCCGCGCGGGGGCGGGGGAAGGGGGCGGGGCGGCGCGCGTGCGGCGCTACGTGGCGCACGCGGGCCGGCGCCGCACCTTCATCTCCGACCAGGCGACGGCGATCCACTCGTTCCGCGCCGCGTCGAACCACGTCAGCCCCAGGTTGTAGCGGCCGTTGAGGTTGGCGTGCTGGCAGTGCGAGAACCACCAGCCGCCCTCGTAGTTGGCGGCGCAGTGCGTGTTGCTGGCGTCGCGGTCCGCGTCGATGGCGCTGAACTGCATGCGGTTCTGGTAGTCGAGCGCGTCCGACGCGTTGCCCGAGTAGCCCGACACGCGCAGCCGGAAGCCGTCGGCCGCCGACGACACGTGGAAGTCGGAGTACTCCGCCACCCACACCTTGCCGTAGATGTCGCGTAGGTCCACGCGCAGCGTCGAGCAGTTGTCGGCCGTCAGGCGGTGCAGCGCCGTGTTGCCCAGCCAGAATTCTCCTGCAATGATAAAATGCACACGTTAGCTCAGAATATTCTACCGTTATATAATGATTTATATATGTATTTAATCACTAAAATCCTAATATACAAATATTCCCCGTACGAGCTGTTATGGGTCTCATGAACATTTACATAATGCTATTGAATTATGGAAAAACATCTGCTTAACTATTAGTAGGTGCGATAAACTGGATTTCTGCCAATTCGATGGCTGTTGATCGATTATGCATTTGATTAAAGCAACAACTCTGTTCGCAATTCGTCATCAGGAACATTTATATTGAAAGGTTACACTCGATGAGAGCGATGTAACAGAGTAGTGAATGTTTTCATACTGACTGTTTGTATGCTTATGCGTTAGGTTATCTCCTATATAGAGAGAGCTCGCAGATATTTATGGCTTCTAAACTTCAAATTATATTCGTCCAAATCCGACAATACTCAAATGTCTACTTAACGTAATAAATCAAGCCTAAAATTCATAACTATTCGGTAGCAGCTTGATTTGTTATATTCGGTAGCAGATATATTACAGAAACGAGGCATTTTCATTATAACGAATTGTCATCCTTCATGTATAAAGCATATCTTCAGCCATCAGTGATAATTTCCGGCAGAGATTTCACAAAAACCAGAAAGGCGGTATAACTTCAACTCTGTTTAATCTTGGCGGAAAATCTTTGATATTCTTAAATTTGCGACTTACGCCAACGTGATGGCTAATAAAATTTCATTCCCGAATCAGATTGTAGGAAGATCGAACGTAAAATGGAATCTTCTTCTCTGAAAACTATTCTATCATCAGCATTCGCCTAATGAATAATATCCCTTCTAAATGTCACTCCGCTGACAAATATCTGGTGCCCGATCAATTATTTTATCGCTAGCCATCGGCTAATAAATAATCCTATGAGTTAAATGGCGTTTGCTGATGTATTTCTGACCCGCGAAGCGCCATCACCGCGCCGACTTTTCCCGGGAGCTGTCGAAAAGCGTCAACCGCGAGCGAGCGTAGCGTGCATCGCGTGATGGATGGGCCGTTCGCGCCACGCCACTCCCCCCCCCTGGCCCCGTTCACCCCTCGCCCCCTCCGCTGAATGGCCGCAGCCTCATAAAGGCCGCTTGCAAAACGCGTGGTCGGAGCACGCGACATTGCGCCCGACACGGCGCCCCCACCGCGGGGGTGCGTGGACGGCGCGCGGGGCGGTTCGATGCCGGACGGGTGACAGTCACGCCCGTCCCACCGTCTTCCTGCCCCCCCCCCTCAATCCCTCTCGGGTCAACATGTCGCGCAGCTGCGTCCGCTCTCGCCCTAAGTTACCCCGAAGGCGGAGGACGGCTAACAGAGCAGAAGGCGCTTTAGTCTCCGATGTTAGTGTGCGGTCAAGTGGCTTGTAGCTCTCCCAGTAAGAGACGAAGATGGGAAATCGAGGATGCATTGAAAGGCTACGGGACTGTTGAATTTTCATGTGGTTCAAAATAAAGAAAAAAGAAAGGAAATTATTAAATCGAAATCTGCTTTAGAAAGTAACGTTTTCAACTTGCCTATTGAATTTATAATTACTATCTCTACATAACTATATGAGCAATTATTTCAAATTCCTTCAAAGAACAGATGGGAATGCATTGGCACTCAGTAGTACTGCTCGGCTGTGTATGAAAGCAGTAAGGTTATGGGAAGGCTGGAGATGTGCCAGGACTAGGGATGGTCATTGAATTCATACCGAAAAGCTTGGGTAAAATATAGGGGATGAAGAACAAAGAAGATGGTCAAGGACAGGAAATATGTAGACTATGGGTAGAGAATGGGGAAGCAACACAGTATGTGAGAAATGAACGAGCAGAATTAGTAACCAGATTATGTAAAGCGTGGAGCATGCGCAGTACAAGCATGAGAAGGGCAAAGCATTAACAGTGCTTGCATCGAGCAAGGAAAAGGCATAGAAAGAAGAGGATAAGTTATTAACGGAGCTTTCGTCAAACGTGGGGAAGGTACACAAAGAGCAGGGGCAGGACAAGGTATTAACAAAACTTTTGTCAAATGCGAGGAAGAAGTAGAAGAGAAGTACAAGACATTAACGTTGTTTGCATCGAGTATGAAGAAGGCGTAGGAAGAGCAAGAGTAGGACAAGCCATTAACGAAACTCGGGCATAAGGGACGACTGGAACACAAGAAGAGCCAGAGAAAGGCAAGGCATAGAAAATTGAGTTATTGGAGCTTCCGTCGAACGCAGGGTAAACGTAGGAAGAACAAGAGTAGGGCAAGCCATTAACAGAGCATCGCTCGAACGAGTGGAAGGTGTAAAAAGAACAGGAGTAGGACAAAGCAGTAACGAATTTTCTGTGTAGTACGAGGAAGTCGTATGAAGAGCAGTAGAACAACGGTGCTTGCGTGGAGCGTGAGGCAGGCGTAGGAAGCGCAGAGGACAACACATTATCGGAGCTTCCGTCGAACGCGAGGAAGGCGTAGGAAGGACAAGAACACAGAGCGAGGCATTAACGGAGCTTCGGCCGACCGCTTCGGCGGGGGAAGGCGTGCGGGGCAGGAAGGGCGTGTGCAAGGCAGGAGCCGAGGACGCCCGGTCCGGAGTTGCCTCATCCCCGGCACGCGCGCCTGTTTGCCAGCGTCCGCAAACAAACAAGGCGGGCAAACGCTGCCCCCGACGCGCCCGCCCGTGCGGCGCGGCGCGGAGCGGCCCGGCCGGGCGCTCGGCACACGAGCGACACTTCCCGATGGGAAAACATCGCCTGCGCCAACACTCGCCAGCGGAGCGATCAAGAAACGCAGCGGAAGGGATACACGGGACAAATTAACAATACGGACCGTTTTTCAAAATTCGAAAGTGCGTGCAGAAATCGGCAGATGTATCAGCCACAGAACGTGAAAATGCTATTGAATTATATCATTATTGAATCTATCTATCTATCTATCTAATTTGAATTGAGTTATGTACGTCCTAAATTGATAAGAATTATGACCTACTTTGGAGACCGCACCTTCAATTTTCTCGCAGATTACAGCAGTTATTAAATATGAACAAGTTTCTTCCACAGATTATATAATGCAATGTTATAGTGTATTGTTTCTGTTATTTCAGATTTCGTGAGAACATGTGAGAACGTCGATTGTGTCATCTGCCCAGCGTTTTTCTCCTATTGTTGCAAAATCTCTCCTAAGAAATGAAGATGGATATCGGCTAAGATATTACTACGAGCGTAAGTTCTGTTTTTATTTGTTAGATTATTATTTTGTTCTGTTGAGTTATATTTCGAAATGAATGTCTGCGTTCACCTATGTTGCTAGCTTTATGTTTTTATTTTTGTAGTAATAAGATTGTATCGACATTTTATTCTCACCAATATAAAACCGTCAACAGTCATGTTTGTCATGGTTTCATTCGCGATAAACAAAACAGAATAATACAACGTGCAGTTATGACTGGAAATTGACTTTATGCGAAAAACCGCAGGAATACTATTAGATTTCGATGCATTGTTGGAATGATTATATTTGAGTAGTTATGGCCGCATTAGCGAGTGCATATAGAGCAACTACTTTCCTTTAACAACTTCTGATCGAATAGAAACGAATTTGATTCGTAAATGCGAGGTGAGGCTATAAATGAGAGAATTATTAATCTGAGATGATTAATCCTGGATAATTTAGTTGACAGCGAGTTCTGTACTGTGTTGTTAGAAATTTACACGAGCTACTTAGTGAATTATGAAACATAGAGGTAGTTATCTTCATAAGTTTCCAATCCCCTATTCGTCCCTTGTGAATCATTTTTCGAAAATAGCCGAAAACAGCGCCTTGCAGTGCCTGAAGTTTTAGTTAAATGCATTTGGTTTTAGGTTTTTGCAGTGCGTATAATGCTTCAATTTAAATACAAGACGTGTCCAAACTATTGTCATTGTACGTGGAGAGGTATGCGCATGAAATACGAAATAAAACTTAGCTAGACTTGCGCGACTTGACAAGGAACTTGTGAAAATTTATTGTTTTCACCGCCTCCAACCCATTTTAAACGCATTTCAGAAAAGTTCAGAAGTCTTTTATTGAAGCTTCGTATGCTTTGAAGACTCACTCTGGCCACTCCAATAAACAACTAATTTAATTTGGTTTCACATTTTGACCGCCGTCACGTGATAGCGCTTCAGGTACTTCTTCAGTCGGAGGCCAACTCCGAGCAATATTCGCAATACAAATTCTGCATAAAGCACAAAATTAAAAAAAAGAAGTTGGTAGGACGTGACGTGAACCGCTTGGGAAGTAAGTCGTGTGAAATTCGTCAGGCGTCGGCCGCCCGCGACAGCGCTTGCGCCGTGGGCCTTTTACGCGTTCGGCGCCGCGTCGCGGGGCGGCGCTGCGGTCGCGAAATGACAATAAAAGCTCCACCTCAGCCGCCCCAGGGGAACCCCCGAGCGGTCGTAAAGGCGGCGACGGCGCCGTAAAGCAGCTGCTTATTAATAAATGGAATCCGCCGAAGGGGTTCGCGCTGCGCGTGGCCGCTGCGGTGGCTGCCGCCGTTCGGAGCTTCTGATTCGGTAATAAAATACTTGGTTCCGCACATGAGAAATTCGAGCGATCGCTCCATTTGTATGCTGCGCTCGAGGGCTCTTTTTACCTTTCCCGCCGACGCGACGCGCGGAAAAATACGAGCGCCCGTTGCCCTGGCAACGCAACGACAGCAAAATAAATGAAATATGCGGCTCCCATTCACAAACAGAACCGCAAACAGTAAACGATCGGAAACAATTACGTATCAATATCGCCGCAGATATCCGCCCGAGGTTGAAATTGTACGCTACATTGGCGAAAGATAGTTTGGACTTTTTGTACATGTTCGGGCTATTTGATTCTTCAAGATAAATTGTTTAAAAAATATTGTCTCTTATAATTGCTACAACGAATTTTAAGATTTCAAAACGACATATGGATTCTTAATCCTTCGTCTACTGAGGTGATAATTAATTTACCTTAAAGCACATTCAAT